ACTTTTGGGTGACATGTACACTCGGCATAGACAGCAAAGGGTCTTCTGCTGCTGTGATGCTTCCTTACAGATGAATTCTGTCTTGCTCAGCCACCTTTCTGGGAATATGTCAGCCTGTTTTTAAACCTGCTCTGATTTTAAACTTCTTTCTGGTGGTGTCTGATCCCTAGCAAATATAGATGATAAAAATCATGTGTTTGGTTTTTCTGTTGTTGGCTCTGTGGAGCGCTTGGAGACACGCATAGAAATGTAGCATTATTGCCAATGCTGATGACTGTCAGGCAGTATCCAGTGTCCTGGATGCCAGATTCCTAATGCCTCAAATCTTTTTCCTATGGGAGCAAGAGAACAGTAGTTTTTACCCCACAAGTAGACACAGATGCAGCAGAGGAGGTCTTTAAGTAGCTGCTTGAATGTGGGGTTTATCAGAGGAGTTATAAGGAAACAAGAGGAAGTGATCTGTTCTGTGGCTGCAGGTGGGACAGAGGACAGGGGCAGTGATCTGGGAGGAAATATTCCTGGAACTTGCCGTGGTGTTGGAGAGAGTTGCCTCTAAAATGCAGAGGAGTTTAAGGCAGCAGGATGAGGGCCCTTAGGAGAATGGAGAAACAAGATCTAAGTTGGGCGTGAGGCACAGGGGGCTTGAGGGCAAAAAGATTTCAGAGGTACAAGAGAAAGTGAAAGCTTGAATCAAAGCAGCTGAAAGATTGGCTTTAATATCTGCTTAGATCAAAAATAAAAGTCTGTATGGATTAAGAGATAATCCACTAGATAGATTTAATCTACCACATGTATTACTTCCCCAAAGAAAAGCATTGGGAGGGGAAGGTTGGTTTGGCTCTGTGCCCAGGATTTGAATGTAGGTGATCTATTCCTTTTCCAAAGGCCCTCTGTTCACTTGTCCCAAATGGAGCACATCCTGATGAAAGGGAGGGGCTGTTGCTCTATCCTCCTGCTTCTTGGCAACTCCAGAGTCACATTGAATCTAACTAAAGGCATTTCTCAAGCAGAAGAGAGCACCAAGAGCGAAATAACACAGCAGTGACTAATAACTTAGGCACGGGGTAGACTCAGGCAATGATAGTAGCTTTGGCTGTCTGAGCAAAGGGTTCTGAGGGGCAGCAATGGGTATTTTATTAACATTTACCCCTGCTGTCCTGATTGCAATTGCCCTTCAAACAAACACCACTCAGTGACGAGCTCCGAATGCCACCTTGCTTCAAGCACTTTGCTCCTGAAATCCTTGGCAACATCCCTTCCTCCCTTTCTGTTTCCTTTCTTTACAAACACTGGTTGACTGCTTAGAATAAGTTCAGTTTCCACAGCAGTAGAAATACTGAAATTACTGGAGGATGATTGAACATGAGAGGCTTTTCTCTGTATATGTTTTCAGTATCAATATGGTATATTTTCTTTTTTAACTAACACATGCAGCTGTATCTTGAACTGTACGTGCATAACAGTCATGCACTTCTAGGAGGCTGTACATGTGATGGAATTTGGGTTAGTTGGATTGAGGAGGTTTAATATTTGTTTTCAAAGTTATCTTGTTCAGGAACAAATAAATTAATTCTGTAGACTGATGTGTATTCCTTCTGTGCTGTGGGCCTGCATCTGTACCACCTCAGGTGAAGGTTTTTGGCAGAACTTCTAAGGTCAGTGGGATTTGGCCTGTCAAATCCTGGAGTAGCAGATCACGGGAGAAAGTACAGAGTGCCTTGGGGAAGAGCTGTCATGGTTTGAAACACCTGAGCTGCCACTGGACAACTTCCCCAGCCTGTGCTGGGAGTGGGCTGTCTGCCTGATACTGCCCTTTATATTTGGTGGGCAGGAGGGATGGATGAAACTCTGGATGTCTTCTTCCCTCTTTCCTTATGAATGCACCATTATTGTTGTAGCTAGGACGCAGTAATTGCCAGTCATGTCCAGGTTTTAGGGCTGCTTCCTTTTTAAGAGAGGTTCCAGCAAATTTTAAATAAGAAAGGTGTGTGCAACATGGATAGACTGAGAGGTACTTCTCTCTCTGTTATTCCCGTGGTCTGTGTTGCAGGAGGGATGAGGATTCTGGCACTGAGAAGCCCTTTGGAATAGCCTGCTGTGTTTGGTGGGGCTGTAAAGGGAGTTGTGGCACTGTTCCTCTCCTACACTGGTGTTTTAGAGAATGAGAGTTAAATGTAGGAGGGGTTAAGAGTGAAAGGTAGGTGTAACTGGGATTCCTCAAAAATTCCTTTGCTTCTTCACAGCCAGCAAAACACTGAGTGAGGCAAGGGAGAGGAAGAGGCTGATACCTGGTGAAGCACTGGGGATAATGTGGGGCAGGAAAGGGAGCAAGGGAAGCATTTCACTGCCTCATTTGACCCACTCACATTCGTGGAGTGGAAGGGAGGAGAACACTTACTGGTTTCTAGGTCTGAGCTTGCATAACTACTTAACACTTCCTTCTGGGAGAGAAACGCGCCCTGTCAGGTCCTGAAAATTGTATCTGGGAGTCAGCAGGGTATTGGCTAAAAGGCAATTGATACCTTGCTTTTATGTGGAGCTTCAGGAAAGCTTTGTTGAGTTCTTCTAGGAGAGAGGTCTACTCACAGGTTAGAGAGAAAATTGCATCATTGATTTGAGGGAGAGCAGCAAAGCAGAAACAAATGACTGGGATTTTTTTCAGTTTTGAAGGAAGTAAAAATAGTCAAATGCCCCCAGGAGCAGTACTGGAAATAGTGTCAATCAATACAATTATGAAACTTCTAGAAAAGAGGTGAACTGTGAGGTGGGAAAATGTTCTGGGGAGAGCAGTTAGGGAAGACTTAGGTCCTTCAGAGGCATCTCACACTTGAACAAAACAAGGCAATGGGACAACCCTATGACACATGAAACTTGCTGCAGACAGGTGCCAGGAAATGCACACTGAAAGGAACAACAGAGACTACTTTGAGAACCTATCAAGTGTATAAGTGATGTGGACTTACTCCTCTGAGGCAGAGGGAGGGTGTGGGAAGGAAATCATGAACAGATTTGTACTCAGTGTTGGTACAAAATACAAGCTGTTAGACTGTGTTTAAAATAAAAGGATGGAGAAATGGAGAATAACTCTGAGAGGGAGAATCTCATGAGGTTCAATTTTGCTCGTCTCCTACTCCAAACAGAATAAAGTGGAAACAGGCTGTGTGCTATCCTGCCATATGCATAAGGAAGGTTTTTCATGCTTCCAGAAACAGGGGAGTATGGCTATAAACAAACAAATACTTAAAGCTGTTTAGTGAAAGAAGTGGGATTCTTTCAGAATGATGCAAGGTGAAACAGGCTTGTATTGGCTGTTTTTCACTACCTACGTTGTGGGGGGCTTTAGGGAGTCCATTTCTGTACTGTAATAGGGAATGTGCTACACAGGGTGAAAATACTTGAAAAGATGGGTTTGGTACAGTTTGAAATTGGGAATCATGGATCACTGCTGATGTCAAATTTGTTGCTGAAGGGAATTATACAGACAGAGCAGAAAAAGAAGTGAGAGAGCTCTCTCAAAAAGCAAAGAGAGACTTTTGGGGAAATTGAAAGACAATACTTGAGATTGATTTTTACAGGCACAGAATGATCTGATGGAACTCATGGCTACAAAACACTGCTGGAGTGCTCTCTCTCCTAATGGGTTGTATAGCCATAAAAATACTCTTCGCTGATTTCACTGGAGGGGTGAAGGTTCAGAACACTTTTCAACTCTTGAGCTTGAAGCTAGGGAGAACCTGCTGGTCATGCATGGGGAAGGAAGGTCTGTTCTGAGAGGGCGACTGTAGTTTACTGTAGCTGCTGTCTGCTCCCAGCGTCCCTCCTAACCTCTGGCTGAACCTGTGTGACAGTTCCTGCAGCATGGCAGCCACTGTGCGTGACATGCAGGCAGGTTTGGCTGTGCCCCTGGCTGCAAGGTGTCTGCTGTAGGCTTTGTGGGAAAGGAACAAACCTTGGATAAGAACAGTTTAATAATGGAAATAAAATAGGATGATAATAATAATACTGTAATGAGAAGGAAAAAAAACAAGAAAGAGAAATAAACTCCAAGAAAGACAAGTGATGCAAATGAAAAATAATTGCTCACCACCAACTGACTGAAGCCCAGACAGGCCCTGAGCAGTGGCCCCCAGCCAACTTTCCCCCTAGCCTATATGCTGAGCATGAATCCATATGGAATGGAATATCCCTTGGGTCATTTGGGATCAGCTGTCCTGGATGTGTCCCCTCCCAACTCCTTGTGCACCCCCAGCCTACTCACTGGTGGAGTGGGGTGAGAGGCAGGAAAGGCCTTTGCTCTGTGCAAACCCTGCTCAGCAATAACCAAAACATCCCTGAGTTATCAACACTGTTTCCAGCACAAATCCAAAACACAGCCCCATACCAGCTACTATGAAGAGAATTAACTCTAGTCCAGCCAAAACCAGCACAACTAGTCATGCAAAAATGATGCACATTATTGTGCTGCTTTTCTCCAAATGAGGACCTAATCTTATTTAACTGATGTGGAAACCAAATCACAGAACTGCTAAGCAGCATGGACAAAGTTGTGTAACAAACTGCTGGTACAGGAGAGGACAGTATAAGCCATGTGAGTCCTGAACTCTGCTCATTAACATGTGTTGCCTTTCATTTCTGACAAGTCATTTTATTAAAAATATGTTGGCAGTTGATAACTGGCTCTGGCTTTCTTGTCAGCAGTACCTGCAGAGAGGCTTGTGGCCCTCTGGTGTTGGCAAAAATTTGCCATCTTTCTGTGCCTTAAACAGCCTCAGGAACACTGTGCTGTGAGTCACGGACTAGTCCTACGTCGTGTCATGTCAGAGTACATAAAGCTCTCAATGGGAGGGAGATGAGTGTGTCTCAACCAGCACTCTTTTGCCCTTTGAAACAACCCAGTCCACCGAGACTTGCATTCTTCTCTGAGGGTCTAGGCGCTGGCTGTTGCCAAAAAAATTGCTGGTTCTAGATTCTTCATCCTAGGAAATGTGCTTGCCTCCTAGGATCTCTCAGCGGGTGGAGGCCAGCCGGGCACAGCTTCAGGCCATTGGTGAGAGAGTCACACTCGCCCAAGCGAAGATTGAGAAGATAAAGGGCAGCAAGAAGGCTATTAAGGTATTGACTTCAGTGAAGGCTGCACTGCCTCCTTTCTTCCTTCCACCTTCTCTCTGTACTCCTGATGTAAGCTCTGGTGAAGAAAGGATGCTCAGCTGCCACACCATGCCTTGCTGCTGAGCAGGGTTGTGATGAGAATCCCATTCCTGACTTGGCCAACTGATGAATTTTAGACCCATGAGCCACACAGCCCCAGGTTTTATAGGGGCCTTTATAGGTTTCTGGCCCAGCTGCTTACCAAGAAAGATGAAAGGCCTGTGCTGAGTAAACTCAATACCCTTGCACTTCAGACTCATAAGCACTTTGGCTATTTGAATGAAAGCTGCTGTTAGAGAGCCTCCCCTTAGTGCATCTTAATCCCATTGAGCCATGTAAAACTGGTAAAAATCCTCCTTTCACCATTCTTGCTCCATTTTATACAGTATTTCCAACTCCTTTCCTGCCAGTGGAAGCATTTTTGCCAATGATCTCCTTGTACTTTTATAGAGAGGTTCTGGCACTTCCAGTTTTGGAAGTGGCAGTCCATGCACATAACCCTTAGGAGCCTGCTGTCTCCAGGGCTGTCCATTCCCATTGGCAGCACAGATGGGGTGCTCACACCACTCCATGTGTTTCTGTGCTGTAGAATTTCCCAGCTCTTGGGATGTTTCAGTCCCTCTTGTTTCTCCACAGGTATTTTCCAGTGCCAAGTACCCGGCCCCTGAACGGCTGCAGGAGTACAGCTCAATTTTTGCTGGTGCAGAAGACCCAGCTAAACAGAAAGGGCCAAGACACAAGATTCAGAGCAAACACCGAATGCTGGATGAGAAAGCTCTGCAGGTAAGGAGGAAGAGAACCGACCTTGGCATGAACAAGCAAAAAGAAGATGGGAGGCTGTTAGTCTCTTTGACAAAGTGGACCAAGGCTTTGGGATATGGGCTGGGAGCAGAACATATTTTCATTTGGTCTGTCAGTGGAGGGGTGTGGGGTCAGGCTGGGAAGCTTGTGGAGATGCCAATTTGAGGGGGCTGTGTCAGTACAAGACCTTGTCTGGGTGTTTGAGTGCTCTGGGTGGCTGTCAGCTGCCAACTCTCTGGAGCAGTTCCATTTCCTGAAATGCTCTTTTCTGCAGCACTGTTGGTGGGTGCTGCTGCCTGGGCTTAATCCTTTGACTATGTATATTGTCATATATTGTTTGGAAAATAGTTTCTGAAGGCTCTGATGTAAGCGATGGTGAGAGGGGAAAGGTAAGAAGGATTGTGTGTCAGGAGAAAAAGAAGTTCTTCATTGGAGCATTTCTCTGCGCCAGGAAACTGTTTCACTTGGGTATTGTCTCTGTAGTTCCCAGCAAAGTTGTACATCTTGGGGAGAATATAATTTTGCTTCTTTAGTTTGTGCTTTGCTCTTCCTTTGCCTTGTGCTCATCTATTGTAGGTTTCAAGCCCTTCAGAGGGGCTGAATCTCTCAATACCCAGCACAGCTAGGGCTTCCAGGTGTGCCCATAGCACAGATACCTGCAGCTGGTGGCATTGAAGGAGGTTCTGAACTTCTGAGTTCCCTTTTAACTTGTGGATTGAATGGCAGAGAGGGGAGGTCTTAGGGAGGTCTGAGAAGGAAGGAGTTTGGCAGGAAGTGCTACCAAAGGATTCTTCAACAATTTGAGTCAACATTCCTGGGTTCGAAGGAGAGGAGGAAAAGTTGATGTGCTTGAAGTTTAAAAGTTGATGTGTATATGCTGTGTCAGGAGTAGCAAATGTGCTGTTCTAGGCAGGTTAGGGATCAGCTTGTCAACTTCCCTGCTTTCCACCCCTAAGGAGACTTCCTTCCTAATCCATGTGTGACTTGGCCCAAAAATAAAGCTGCCACTGAATAATTCATCATGCTAAACTTTCCTCAGTGTTAATGGAGTTGAGGCCTCACACAGTGAGGTAGTTATGAATATTTCAGCCAGGCCAAGGAGGCAGGGCTGCTGGCCGAATGGACAGCTGGCAACCTCGAGCAGGGTCCCTGCTTCCTTCGTGATCCTGGCAGCAGGGCAGGGCAGGGCAGAGCTGTGTGGGACCTGCTGCCGGCCTTTGGGAGGCCAGCTGGTGGTGCTCTCTGGCTGGTGGCCCCGTCCCGTCAGAGCGTGGGGGAGTAGAGGTAGGCAGTGAGCAGTGAGTGGACAGGGAGATGTGCCCCCACCCTGAAGGGCTGGTGCCAGTGTACAGCCCCTCACACGGGAGGGGGATTGAGAAGAGCTTCAGCTGGTAGAAAGCAGTGTCCTGCAAAGAGCCCATGGTGTGCCCGTTCATCTGGCCTGCTGGCTCCAGTAGGCTCCACAAGCCTTTCCCCAGAGCCACCTGCCTGCAATGCCACCTCTTCCCGTCCCAGGTAGTCTCCGTAGCATTGCCATGTTCTGCCCTTTGTGATTAAGGCTGCATCCCCACAGGGAAATCGTTTCTGGGGGATGTCTGTGTTTGTTTTTCCCCTCCTGTGACCCATCTTTTGATCCTCCTTTGGGGCTGTTGATCTTTTTCTGGCTTTGCTGACCCTGCCTCATGCAGCAGCCTTGTCAGTCTTGTCAGGCTCACACACCTGCATGTCCTCTGTGGAATGGGGGGTGCTGCTTTCAGGTGGTGGACGATGGAGGGCCCTGCCCCAAGAGCAGCTGGTGTGTTGAGTGGTGCTTGGTGCGACCGAGCTCTGACCATGCTCCAGTGGGACAGACCCGTCTCAGCCATAGCTGAGCACGGAGCCTGACGTGCCTTGCAGTAATGAAATGTGGCAGGGAGAAGTCTAATGTTTGCGTTTATGCCCTCCTCAATTATTTAGGGCTTTCAGCAGAGGCTCACTGCCTGTTTTCACTTCTAATGAGGGCCTCTTTGCTGGGAGCAGTTGGTAACTCCACTCGCACACACCCCACCAGGAGAGCAAACTCTGCTCGTGTCGGTTTGAGGGTAAATGGTGGCAGCCTGTGCTCAGCATTTAGGGTTTGTGCTCGGGGGGATAACAGCTGTGTTGGAAATCTGTGGGGTTCTGCAGTTGATTTGAAAATGGTTCCCCCCTTGGAATTTTTTCTTTCCCCCTTCACCCCAAAGCAAGTGAAAACTCAGTCACTGAGTGGACACTGTTTAGGTTGGTAAGGTAAGCACTGAGGGCCAAGAGTGCCAGAAACACAGTCCTGGTAAGGCTGAAAAGCCACTTTCTTTGCACATTGCTGTGGTAGCAGCTGGGCAGGGCTCAGCAGGGAGCTCTCTGCAGCCCTGTGGAGCTTCCCAGCCTCTGTGCCCTGCCTCTGGGGTGGGAGCTGTGTCTGGGTGCTGCATGTGCCCCTCAGGAGACTGAAAAATGGGGTGGGAGACATGGTCTGCCTGGGCTTTGGAGGAGGTGCAAGCAAAAGTTACAGTCTGCTGCTGGAGTAACCTTGCTAGGCTTCAAAAATGTCAGTAACTTGGCATATTCTTGGGAATCCTGCCTCTCTCAGAGCCCACCATAGGCATGGGGAGGCTAAAACAGCTTTTTGCCAGTTGCTTATCTTGAAGTGCTTTTCCAGATAGTCTAAGCACTCCCTTGGTATGGGGGAGTGGGATTTGTGGGGTATCACACCAATTCCCTTTGTAATGGTGTGTGCTTAATTAAACTTCAGAACCAGGGTGACTTTATATATTTTCAGCTGTAGGTTCTTAGGGAGAAAAATGCCTGAAAATGCAGTGTCCTTGGGGGTGTGATCCTGCCAAGTGCCAAACCCCAGGCTGGGGTGTTTGAGCATTCAAGCATCCCCCAAGACTTCAGTATGTCGAGGCTGCTGAACTTTGGCTTAAGGCCTTAATTTTCCTATAAGAAAACTACATTTTAAATGGCATGTTAACTTCTGGAATTTACAGTTGCAGGATGTTATTGACAGTGTGTTCCAAATTTCAAAACAGATCTAGGTACTCGAATAAAACTAGCACTTTGATGGCACATAAATTAAAAGTTTCAAAGTAATACTCATGCTTAGTGCTTTTATAACTGCCTTAGATGAGGCTTATAAGTAAATGTAGGTAATGGTTGGTTTCTCACTACGCCCTTAAAGTGATGCACAGTCTTCCAGTGCTAACTGAAATCTACAAAGAGAGAATTAAAAAAATATATATATGACTTAAGGGCTAAGTGTGTCTGAACAGTTCTAGCAAAAAAGTCAGTACTCCCTCATGCTTAAAAAATTAAACATTGGGAAATGAATATTAATGATCAAAAGAACTTTTATTTTTGAGTCTCTGCTTCTGCAGTCTCTAAATAACAATTTATATATTTTTGCCTACTTGCTTCTGTAAAAAAATACAAGATGTTCATTTCAGTATATTTTTCTCAAGTTGGAACGTGAATTAAATCAAAACCTCCTAGGTCTTTTCTTATAGCATTTTATAGACTCAGAGTATCATAGAAACTCTTAGTGGATTAACTAAGAGCTGTGACTAAGCCATTTCCTAGGATTTGTGGCTACCAGATTCAAGACTGAAATTTCAGTCGGGAGGAACCGCTTGTGTCACTGCGGTGTGGCCTTAAAGCTGAACCAGTGGTGGCCTCCATTTCCCCCGTACAAATACAAGGTGGGATGATACAGAGAATGGGATGGTGCAGGGATGCTGGAAGTAGTGAGGCTGTTAGGAAGCTGTGGGCACTATTTGAAGTGGTCATCTTCTGGTGACAGACGGAAACCACAAATGTGGCCAGTTATTTAACCTGACAGACTGCTCTGGTTTGTCCTGGTATGAACACTTACGCCTTGTGGCTGCTGCTTGTCCTAGTTTTTGAAGAAAGCAGGAGTTGTAAAGGGGCTGAGGTGTGTGAAGGGGTCTGGGGTGATGTTTTTTTCCATCCCAAACCGTCTCTGGGTTCAGGAACTGATGCCTTTCCTCCCACTAGAGCAAAGAGTGCTGTGGGCACTGAGCTTCATCCCCCGGAGCATGTGGCAGTGGGCACTGTCACGCCAGCCGAAACACTGGTCTGATGTGGGATGGCAATTCCTGTGCTCTATAAAAGTCAGGCAGTTCAGATGTAATAAGTCCTTTTCTAAAGGGAGTTCTATATATATATTATGCATGAAGTTTTAGAACTGAGAGAGAGGAGATTTCAGTTCATTAGAGTTGAAAACTCCTGCAAATCCCTCAGGCTTTGCAAAACCATCTGGCACACGTTCCACCCTGCGCACTCTCTTCTTCTTGATCTCTTGCCTAGTGCAGGCATTCTGTTTTTTCCCAACCTCTTTTCCTTTGCCTTCCCTGCATACCTGAACAGTGGGATCACAGTTCTTAAATCATCAACTGAAGGCAGCAGAGAGGAGGTAATAGAGATGTTTGGGGGACTCTGCCTGCATGAAAACGTGTAGCAGTTGGAGACACTGTAACAACAACGCCTTTTAGACTGTTGTGCTTGATCCCTGCCTCTGACTATAGAGCCTGAGTGGTGGCTTCACCTTGGTGGATCCTTGCCACAGCAACACGTGTTCGATATGACCCACCCATGGCACCAAAAGCACATGCCATGAGTCTGAACTGCCGAGATTTGTGATGAGTGCGGGGTTGCAATGTTGTCCCTGTGCTTCCTTGCTCAAAGGGAGATAGAGAGGAAGCAGTAGGGTTTCCAGACTGTACAGTGCAGCCAGCAATGTAGGTTGTGGTGGCTGGGGACAGCCACCTCAGCAGCCGTGGTTTTAGTGTCTTACTACCTGTTATCTGTTTTCTTGCAGGAAAAGCTCAAGTATTTCCCCGTGTGCGTGAGCACCAAAATTCACCAGGAGGATGATGCAGAAGAAGGCCTTGGCAGCCTTCCCAGGAACATCAGCTCCCTCAGCTCCCTGCTACTCTTCAATACCACTGAGAACCTGTGAGAGCTGGAGCAGTGCTGTGCTGCTCACCTGCCCCTGCTTGTCCTCAGGAGCTTTCCCTTTCCCAGGGGTAGCAGTAACTGCTTGCTTTCCTGGGGGTGTTACATATCAGGCTCCTGATAGGACAGTTTGCTACATCTGGCTTCTAGCTAGGAACCCTTTCTTCCCCATTCTTTCCCTTGGGTGGAAGGAGTTGTTTTATCTGCACCTGATCCTCTACTCATCTGCATTCAACCCAGTTTTGCACTTCCTGTCCCCAGCTTATTTTTTCCTATTGTTCCCCTGTAATTTCTCTCCAGCCTTGAGATGTGCCATCACTCCTATCCTTCTCTGCCCCATGTGCCAGCCCAGGTACTGCTTCTTCTCCCAGTGATTCCTTGCAACATCACTTGACTGCCCTCACTGTTTCACTGTCTCCACCACCTCCCTCACTGCGGTTCCCTTTCCCATTACTGGGCTTTGCCTCATGGTTCCTCCTTCTGCCCGTATTGAAGAGCTTATTTAAGCCCTTTTAGAGATTTCAGATGCTGGACCTTCTCTTTCTTCTCCTGAGTCATGGATCGTTTTCTCTTTTTGCCTTTCCTCCTGGACCTTGATTGACAAGTCACTGGTGTCCTGCTGCAGGCTGTGGCATGGTTCAGGCTGGGTGGTGGAAAGGGGAGAGCTTGGTAATGGTGGCACTGCAGTGGGGTTTGCTTTAGGGTGAACGTGGAGGCTGCACGGGCAGGGTGGGTAGCTGATCCCTTCCTGGTTGTGGAGGGGAAAGGCTGGAAAATGTGGCTAAAAGAAGGAAACTGGAAGGCCCAGCCTTTTTGAATGAAGTCAGGAGGTCTCCACCTCCAAGGCCTTCTCAGGTACACTTTCTTCTGGCCTTGGCTCTCAAGGTAGGAACACTAAAATACATGTCCTTTACTCTTAGGTACAAGAAGTATGTTTTCCTGGATCCTCTGGCTGGAGCAGTGACCAAGACCCATGTGGCTCTGGAAACAGAGACAGAAGAGAAGCTCTTTGATGCTCCTCTCTCCATCACCAAAAGGGGACAGCTGGACCGACAGGTGAGATGCAGCTGCTTCCACTTCAGAGGGTTGTGCTCAGCTCTCTGAGAAGAGAGGGTGGTTGAATATGTGTGTGGTTGAATGTGTGGTTTGGAACTGGGAAAAGGAACCTAGGAGCCATTTGCTCATCATGTTGGACTGGAGGAGATAGTGTATATAGTGAATAAATCCTTTATTCACAGTGCACCTCATTGCTGTTCTTCCCGTGTTAAACACAAGACCAAGCCCATCTAACCACTTGGTTGGGTTTCTCTCCTGCATCTTAATCTCAAATAGTTCAGGCATCATCCTCTTCTGGAGGAGAAGGGACTGACATATGTTGGCTGCAACATTAGTGCATAAAACCTTCAGAGAAGAGGAGAGTCCCCTTGCACGAAATTAGGAAGAGTCCCTCACTTGGTCCTCCTGCAGCCTGCCTTTTCCAGGCCTGGTCTGCAGGAGGTAACCTCTGAGCACAGAGTTGCAGGGGTAGCTGATGAGTGGCCACTGTACCAAGGTACACGAGTTAAGCTCTGACTGCCACCCAGAGTGTTCCCTGCAGTGCCCCTGTTTGCTGCAAGTGCATAGCCACTGCCTTATCTTGCTGCTCTGGGTTTCTTTTAGGTAGCTGAAAATTACTTCTACGTGCCAGATCTGGGCCAGGTCCCTGAGATTGATGTGCCATCCTACCTGCCAGACCTGCCTGGCATTGCTGCAGATCTCATGTACAGCGCTGACCTGGGCCCTGGCATCGCACCGTCTGCCCCAAGCAGTGCTATTCCAGAGCTGCCCACCTTCAACACTGAGTTGGTGGAGCCTTTGCAACCAGGTATTTCCAATCCCTGATCCCAGGAAGGAGGAAGGCAGGGATTGCTAGAAGATGGAAATGAAGCAGAAAGTCCCTTGGTAGAGATTTTAAGCTGGATGTTGGAGATACCTTTGGCTTGTGCTTAGGCCTGAGTGAAAGCTGCAACTGGCTCGGGTGTGGACTTCAGGCCCCTTACCTCCCTCACCTTCTGCATGGCTTGGGAGGAGGGAGCAGGGACTGGCCCCATGTCAGCCTGGTGGGATGCCCTTGGTGAGCAGGATGCAGCTGGGGAAGGGAGTAGGGGAATCTCAGACTCCCCCTTGGCCCTGCCTGCTGGTCAGAGATGGTGCACAGGTGGGAGTGCTCTGCTGCACCGCGTGTGCTGAGGGCTCCGATCATTGCTGCTGTGGCACGTGAAGCTCTGAGCTGAAGCTCTCAGTGTGCCATTCCCTGGGATCCTTCAGATACAACTTCTTTCACCTTTCAGATCTTCAAGATGCTGAACTATTGCCACCTCCTCCCCCTCCGCCTCCCCCACCGCCTCCTGTTGTGCCAACCACTGTGCCTCCTCCTCCACCCCTGCCCCAGCCCACGGCCCCCTCGGAGCCGGCACGCACAGCGAGCGAGGAGAGCAGCAACACAGTGCCTGCAGGTAAGGGCTGGGCATCTCCACAGCTTCACCAGCCCAGTCTGACTCCGACTCCCTGGCTTCAGCCTGTGTCCTTGGGTGGTTTCCTGTGCCTTCCCAGCCTTCCAGTAGAGTGGGGAGGCTGGCAGGGTATTGGAGTAACCCTTTCCATTGGAATTTGGCTGGGCCTGTAGCTGATGCTGCCTGTCCTTCCTGTCCCTGCAGCTTCTGTCCAGGGAGCCCCAAAGGAGGTGGTGAACCCCTCTACTGGGCGTGCCAGTCTCCTGGAGTCCATCCGCCAGGCTGGTGGCATTGGGAAGGCCAACCTCCGCAGTGTCAAGGAGAGGAAGCTGGAGAAAAAGAAACAGAAGGAACAGGAACAAGGTGCTGAGGCCCTTCAGCAGAACTGCACTTCCTTGCTCTCTGCCCCAGGCTGGGGAGGTGTGGGTCTGGGGGCAGGCAGGCAAGTCAGGAGCACAGTGAACTCACAGAGCAGAAAGGGGTTCTCTCTCCTCACAGGCCTGTGTAGGTCTCAGGTGTTTCCCACTCTGTGAAATCGCTGAACCCCATCTGCCAGGGCATCCATGTTCTTCATGGAGACACGCTCTGTCTCAGGGCATATGTAGAAGTTTCCCATGGGAGCAGGCACACAAATGAAACCCCAGGGCCAAGGCTGAACCAGTCTGAGCACCTTGGCAGAGGTAGCTGGGGAGGGGAGTGATGGAACTGGTTTGGCAGAATGAGACTGCAAATGCACAGCCCCTCAAGGAATTCCACTCTTGGGTTTCCCCAGAAGATGCCATTATGCTGCTGTGGCTACTGTTTTCCTGACCTGGAACTGGGCTATAGTTTTGGGGTGTGATACAAGAATAGAGGTTTGGGATCTTTTCTTTAATCTGAAGACAGTATTGCAGGGGAATGCTTTTGCCATAGGGCTTGGTTCAGACTAGTGTTTCTTGACTGACTTGTTCTCCTGTTTCAGTGAGAGCTACGGGACAAGGTGGAGATTTGATGTCAGACCTCTTCAACAAACTGGTGCTGAGGCGCAAAGGTACTGTCCTGCAGGGTGGGCTGCTCCTTCCCCTAGGAAAGAGGGAGAGCAGTTCCTGGCACCTCAGTTGTGTCAGCCACAGCTCTAGAAACAGGAACAGAGACTTTCCCTGGCAAGTGGGGCTGGGAGTGTCTTTAGAGAGGGTGAGCAGAGGGATCTCCACCTCAAGTCCAGCTGAAGGCACTGGAGGAAGTTGTGTGTCTCAGTCAGAGGACGGACTCCAAAAGCTGCCTGTACCCATGGGGGCACCTGAGTTGCCCTGCCAGGGGCACTTAGGGCCAGGTGCATTTAGGCCTCAGTGCTGGGCAGAGAACAGCAGGGACTTGCTCAGGTGGAGCTGCAGTTAAACGAGCCTCTGGCACAGGACTGTGGCAGTACTGAACATGTTGACTGCTCTACTTACCTGGGTGCTGGGAGCATGGCTTTCCCCCTTCCCTTTGCTGAGTCTGTGTGGTGTCCCTGGGTGTTGCTTACTGGTGATTTTCCTTCCGTTACAGGTATTTCAGGGAAAGGGCCAGGAGCCTCTGGGAATGCCGATGCTCCAGGCAGTCCTGCTGGTGCCTTTGCTCGCATGTCGGACTCGATACCACCCCTCCCACCCCCACAGCAGCCCGTGGGTGAGGATGATGAAGATGACTGGGAGTCATAGATGGGGTCAGTTGAGCATTAGTGTCAATCTGCTGCTGTCTGAAAAATTTCAATAAAGTTGAAGGAAGCAGGTCCTTCCACCTTCACTTTGGTAAAAGTGGGAAGTGTCATCAAAGATGTGGAAAGGGAAAGCCCAGCTGTCCACTCATGGCTGGCAGAGACCAGCCTTACAGCCCAGCACCACCAGCTTCTAGAAGCAGGTGCCCCCCTCTCCCTCTTTGCCTGGGGTGAAGGCAGAGCTTGTGCAGGGTTTGTACCCTCTGAAGGGGCAGGAGACTCACAATGGAAGTTTATCATAGGCAGCTGTTTCTTTCCCTATGGGGCTGATTAACACACAGGGAGTAGGTAACAGCTCTTGTGTCATAATTATAAGTACTTTCTTCATTGTGAAGAGCCTTGAGAGGCAGCATCCAGCTGCTGAAACTGGCAGAGAGGAAAAGGAAGCTCCTGGGAAGAAACTTGCTCAGAATGACAGAACAAGCTGGGGGCGGCTGTGGGATGATGTAGCTGTCCCTGTTGTTATTGCTGCCCTCCAGCACTGACCTATAACCTTGGAAAGAACTCCAGGAATGTTAACCTAAAAAAGTTACCTTGAATTGAAAAACTTAAGCAGTAGAAAGAACAGAGCAACCCTGTGCTTAAGCATGATCAAAGGAGAAATGCTGTATTATGGCCATATCTTTATTCCCCTGGAAAGAACAAACCGCTCCTTGAATCTACTGACTGCTTGAAGCAAGAGCTGCCCTGTGTCTTTCTTACCACTCCAGCTATGTTATTCCAAAGGACACAAACTAATGGTCTGCTAGTTTACAATTCCTGTGAAAAGCTCTATGTTGTCATTGGCCATCAGGCCTCCTACATGTGGTGGTTGATGGGAAAAAACAGATGTATTCAGTTAAAATAATTATACTCCCCACACTTAATGTTTGTTTTGGTTGAAAGTATTTAATCAATTTAAATAAAACCTTAACAGCTGTAAACAAATAGAAACCTGCTGCTACTCCCTTCACCTGCCTCAGACCTACAGCCAGTTTCCCTCCTGGTTATGGTGCTGAAGGCTGTCTCACCGTCGTAGTGCTCAGATACTGAACAGCAAACATCCACAAAGGAGGCAGAAATTTACATAGTCCATGTACAGAAAAACAGAAACTTGTGTTGCTTCACCCATTTTTCAGAGGTGTAACTCACAGAGGTGAATACCGTCTGTTCTCTGGCCCACGTCACAAAGCATCCAACTTCCCTCGATGGAACTGAGAACACACAAAACCAGACAGTTTGTCCCTGGCTTTACTCTAAAGGGAAGACTTGAGATAAGTCCAGATGAGCACAGTGGGAAATGGCTGGGGGAGCAGTACATGAGATAGGAGTTCTGACCTTTCTTAATTCTGCAAATGCCGATCCAAAGGCAGGTTTCACCTGGGTTCTCTCCCTGATCCACTGGGGCAGTTTGTTAAAGATGGCAGGCCGTGCGTACCTGTGGTCCAGGAGCAGGATGCTTGCAAAGTCCTTCTGGTGGCGAATGGCTCTGCCTGTACAGAGCATAAAAACAAAAAATGGCCCAGTCAGGTACTTTGTTCTCAGACAAGGAAGCTCATGTTCCCATCATCTGTACTTAGACTAACTGGGTAATGCTTCCTTTTTCCCACCCTGCTCCTTCAGTGCAGTCACATTTCGTATCCCCCAGCCTGTCCAAGGAAGGATGAATTACCTATCGACTGGTTTACTGCCTTCATGCACAGGTTTTCAATCAGCACTCTGCTAGGTGCCTGGCCAGCAGCTCTGGGCTGGAAAGGAGAAATAGGCAGGTCTGAACATGAGGCAGAGGTAAAATCAAACTAGGGAGTCTGAATGACAACGTGAGGCCAATGCTTTTACCCCTGCAGAGTGAGCAGGTGGCGAGGCAGACCCCAAGCTGAGAGCAAGGAGGGACAGAAGAAAGGCTGCAGTCAGAAAACTCTGTTGAGCATTCACAAAGAGCCAGCCCATGGCTCCCTTGAAGGCAGAAATACTCTCCCCAGCTGCTTGGGAACAGCACATCCAGTGAGCAGTAAGAAAGGACAAATGACCCAAGAAAAGTGATCCTGGCAAGCAGATTCTACCACCCTGCCACCCCCTCTGGCGTAAAGGGTCCTTGCTCCCTTTGGAACTCAAAGTTCCCAGTGAGCCCTGGTGGTATTTCCCTCCACTGAGCTTCTTCCCTGTGTTTGGCAGCACCTGTTCATGAGCTGCCTGGAGAAGGCTGTGCTCTCGGTACCACACTCTGGGAAACGAGGGCAAGCTCAGAGAAAAACACAACAAAGCCTTCAAAGGCATCTCTTGCATGCCTGTGCTGAGAGAAAAGTTAGTACTATAAAGCAGAAGTGAAACAGGCAGAGGTGTAAGTGTCTCTGTTACCATTGTTTTGTCAAGCCAAGCCATTTTTTCCTGAAGCTCTGGAGATTTAATGTTGGGGTAGGGCATTCCCACCATAATCACACACCTGCAAGGAAGGGACTGCATTATTCTTAATGTCTCATCCTGTAGCACTATGCCAATACACTGATAAATTAGAGGTCACTGCACCCACGAAAGCCAGCCCTGACAACCAAGGGTGGCAATAAAGCACAGCAGTCTGACAAGCACATTCTGAACAGAGCTGCAGAGGGATTCAGGGTGCCAGAACAAGGGATTATGTAGCACAGCAAGCCTAACTACATCATTCACAGAAAAAGTAGCCTGGACAAGCAGGTTTTCACCACCCAGCAGACCCTCCTGTTGCTTTAAGCGTCAGCTGAAGTCACGTGCTCCCCAGATTTTCTATCTGTGCAAGTACTGACGTGACCATCCTGCTTGGAGTCACCCCAAGTCAGAGCTCACCTCTCAAGAAGGAGCAGTCACCTTACCTTCCCAGGTCATCTGAGAAGTTGATCCCTTCACTCATTTTGCCTCCAACTACAGAAAGCAGCAGGGCCCCTGTCATCTGTCCTCCTGCCTGGCTGCAGCGCTGCAGGAGATGGACCATCAACTTAAACCAGAGTAGGGAAGATTTCTGTGCTTCAGAAACACTCCCACACCTCAGCTAGAGCCCTCTTCCCCTTGTTAAAGCTGCAGCGCCCTCTTTAGCAGCACTGCCACACCAGTTGGGATACCACACTCCCACCAGCCTGCCAGTTCAGCTTACCTTTATGCACTTGGCATATTCCACCAGCACCTGCTCCACCTGGTTGGCTTTCTTGGGCTCCTGAAAGATCTGTCACAGGCACAGTGTGTCAGTCGCAACAACGGGAAGCAAACAGTTTAAAGAAAGCAAATCATTTCACTCTCACGCCATTAAACAGCATATGGAACCGAAATCAGGGAAAGGCAAATTGCCTGAAAAACCAACTTAACCAGCACCTTTCCTCTCCACTGTGGAAAGGCACTGCATGTTCATTTTCCAGCTGAGCTGTGAAGGGAGCAGTAGCTGTTCCTGCCCTTCCAACATTCCCTTTCAGCTTTGGCAGACTTGTTTAATTCTGCAAGAAGTTAAAAGTTATCCAAGAGCTGAGAGGCAGGAAAGCAGTGTGCACCTTTTGCACCTCTGAATCAAGGTCCTCCAGGGTGAGGAGACTCCCCAGCTCCAAGATCTTGGAGGACAGTGACAGGACTGATCAATTTGAATCATTAATTAATTAATTCCAAGTGATAGCTTCACTTGCCCAGTGAATAAATCAGCTCTTTATGCAATGCACAAATAAAGTAATATTTCTTTATGTTATTCTTGCATGCCTAATTAGTTACTGAAAGCCCCTGCAGTTAATTAAGCTGTATTTTGATCGATGCTGCACCTTGGCCTAAATCACAAGTTGTTTTCCTAGTAAACAAGAGGTGCAACATCTGTCTTCTCTGTGACAGTGAAGAACCTAAAGGATGTGTTTTTTCTTGGTTAGCAAGAACTACTATCAAATTTTATCAGTCAAAACCAGTCCTTCAGTAGAAAAATAACTGGCAATTACAAATATAGGCCCAAACTAATTTATTGAAGAGTAGCTATTTAATCCTTTGATTTAAATTAATTTTCCCTACATTATTTATATACAATCTCAGTGTGATGTCACCAGAGCGACCTCAGGACTCGAGCCTTCCTGTGCTATGGTCTGGTCATGTGTGGGTAGCTGAAAGTCACACTTGCTGCACTTGTACCAAAATTGCCTTGCTCATGCATATCCAATTTGCTGGAGACTGCAAAGGCCAAACAAGAATAAATCAGAGCTGAAAGGTACAACAAACTGTGTGATTGTGGCAGAAAGCCTTGGAGGCACCAGCCAGAGCACTGGGACCCTGACAGGACACACCTGAAAGGCATAAGGAGGAGTAGCTGTACAAACACATGGAGAAGCCGAAGCATAATGCTTCCACCACAAAAACCTACAGGCAGATCCACACTCCAGAATGCTGGCACCAAGGCTGTGAAATGCACAAGACTGCGCTCTCCTAATCCACATGGTAAGTTATTTAGCTTTTGGTAAACAAACAGAAGTCACAGCCAGCGTATATGTAACTCCCCTCCCCTCCCCGCACCCCCAGCATGTGATCAAAGATCCCTGCACCACACCCTGAACTGCCTGATCTTCAATACCCAGCCTTCAAATAACTGGAAAAGTTCATTGCAAAGATTTCTAGATTTGCAGTGATTTCCCTATTTAATGTGTTGCATCGCTCCTTCAGCAGGAGTCACCACTGCTGGTCTTCCAGTTCTCATCCGGGTTACATCTACCAGGAAGCAAACCACCATTTTTTCTATGAACTGCAGTGTGGCCCCACTCTGCCTAGCCCTTGGTTGTGCTGGTCTGTGCTCAAGGGACACAGCTGAGCCTGGGAAAAACACATTCCCTGTAAGAGCTCAATCTGATCAGCACCCCAACCACATGGGAACAAGCCTGCTGGTTATGGAAATCAAAGACTGTCTCCCCCCATGGCCACTACACAGACTGTGCACTTAGAGAATGTATAGCTGCACTCAGTCTAATTTAGATCCCAGCTCAGTGATCAGCCACCCGGGAAGTATCATGTATTTGTAACTGGAGGGATTAGCCAGATAAACATCCTCTCTGCTCTGCTGTGCAGGGTATGAGAACAACTCAGAGAGAGAGAGGTCTGTAGTGCATATGTAATTGTTTGATTTTTGAAACCTCCACGTAAAGCACCAACTGCCCCAGCTGCACAATCACCTTCTTCTTAGTTGCCAGGCGGGTGAGCAGCCCTGTCTTCTCCCAGTGTGCATACACCTGCTTCTCATATTCATAGGAGGGGAAGAAGCACACCACACCTCCTGGGATCACGTTGCACAGGTTGCAAAGGATCCGACCTGTCTCATCCATCTGCAAGAGAGATAAGAGCATATTGCAGCTGGCAGGAGCTCCAGCTAATGCTGCTCCAGTTCTGTGCTCAATCCCAGCACCACACCTTCCCTGTGACATGCCTTAGGGGAGATAAAAATGTGGGAAATGTGCCAAGTCTAAGAGAACTCTCTAGGAGAGCTGAGCATCACAAAAAAGTTCTTCACTGCTCAGCCTTTTTCCCTAACCTGGTGTTTCTGTTAGTGCTGTGGAGCACTGGTCACTCGGGAAAGGAGGGTTTGCCTCAGTGGATGGAAGCTGTCACACCAGAATAGATGCTGAGAGGTAGTTAGCATGTCTGGTGGAGATTCAGCAGGGCCAGAGCAGATCTAGGGTCTGGCCTTGGGTGTTTACTGGCCTGCCACAGGAAGAAGGTAAAAAGTGCCAAAACACCTGCTGCTGCCCCTGTGGTTTGGGCTGCATTTTGCAGGGCTGCCCTGCTCCACTGTCACTGAGCCCTTCAAACTGTGACACACAGTCAGAAACCTCCTCCTGATGCCCAGCACACAACTGCAGGATCTCAGTACAGCCAAACAGAAGTTGCTATGTAACTCACCTCAAAAGCTACCTCTGACAAAACAGCTCAAAATCCCTTTTGCTATTGCTCTTTCTCAATTACCTGGCAACACACCTGCCCCAAATCTTATGGATTTCCCCTGCCGTGGCTTTTGGTGAGCTCACCTTTCAAACAGAGAGTGTGCTGTCCTATGAAACATAAGCACGTGAAGCAAAAAAGGGGTCCAAAGGAAGGGAACAAAGGACAGACTGACCATCTGGGGCAGGTCTCTTGTCTGGTAGGTGAATTCCAGCTGCTGGTTGGAAGGACCACTGCAGAGGATTATGGGTAAGATGTTTTCTGGAGGAATCACATGCCCTGGAGCCAAAAACAAGTAGTGAGAGTCAACATCACTGCTGTTAGCAAAAACCCCACAAGCTGAAGAGCTTTACCTGCATGACAGAGGCAAATGTTATCCTGGCTAAGCCAAAGTGTTTAAGTCACTCAGCTGTGCCGACTTCCATTCCCTGAGCCCCTGGGAAGAAGGCGTGGCACACTGCCTGCCAGTACTGGCACTGAGGAAGCTCAGAGTGGAAGGGAACTTGCACACTTTTGCTGCCCTGACAAAACAGCACCAGAGGCAGACTGCAGCACTCCCTGCCAGCCCGGCACACTCACCACAAGAGAACTCCAGGACTCGTGCAGGGTCCACACCAGCACAGGACAGCAGCTGCTCTCGGAAATCAGCCACCTACGAACCACGAGCCACACGTAAAGTACCAGTGGCCCAAAAGACACCACACCAGAGGCACCTGTACTGCTCCTCGAGCACCAGTGTCGAGGGAGTGCCGGCCAGATCCCTCCGGGATGAGCACACCGGGGACAGGGAATGCCGAACACCGCCCCCCAGCTCCCGGCCCGTGCTCCCGGCCCGCCGGAGAAGCGGCAGCGCCCCCTGCCTGCGCACATCGGGACTGATTTTCCTGAATCCCTACGGGATGGTCCCTGTGGGATGGGATCCCTGTCCCTGCAGAAGGACAGATGGTATCACAGGGTCCTCCAACTTCTCCCCGTGCTGGTTCCAAACTACCAAGAGCTCAGCCTGTATCGTCTTGAGGACAAGAAAGGCTGACGAGGGCAATCCTGCCTTTGCACCTACCACTTCATCCATAAACAGGCAGTGACACCTCATGCAGGGAACCCATATAAAAGGGCAGGTAGGAGAAGTCTTTTCCCACCCACACCACGGGGAGCAAGAAGAGCAGCACATCCCAGTGGGGCTCAGCTGCTCTCTCTCCATGCCTGCTTGCACACAGCACCTCCTGAGATCCCAGTACAGCATCCTGATTTCCTCACCGGCTGCATGGTGCCTCCAGCAATGATCACAGCACGGCATTCTTCCACCACCTTGGCAAAGTGGACAGCTGGATTCAGCAGGAGGAATTTGAGACTGCTCTGACCAACTGTGCCTGGGAAAAGGAGAGAAGGAGAATCAGGAGCTAGCTGTGGGATACGCACACTCAGGGATATATAAGAGATTCTCCCTCGTGCCCTGGGCCCTCTGCCTCACTTCTCAAAGCAAGGACTTGCTATTCAACACTGACAGAGGCATCAGCAGGTGAACCAAGCTGGAAGTTACCTTCTGCTTCCTAATCTCTCCGGAGCTGCAATAAATTGCAGGATGAGAACATCCAAAGTGGGAGCAGAGATCTGCAAACCCTGGCACCAATGCCCTTAGTTAAGAATTCCTCTGGGGTCGTGAGCATCCTCATACAGACCAACCCTGCCAGCCTGCATCATATATGGCACAGAAATGTTGCTGCAGGCTCCTCCCAGGCTCCAGATCTTCTCCCTCACTGCCAATGAAGCACCCTGCTCGTGACTGCCTCATGCCACCTCTCCCCAGCTCGCCCTTTCCAGTACCTTGTCTGTTGAGAATGACTCTGCCATCTTGGTTTGCATTTGTGAGGGCCGACAGAAATCCTTCAATCTGCATCAGTGGAGAGGCAGCTCGGAGCTGGTCGTTCTCAGCCTCCACAGGAGGGCTCTGGGCAGTACCTGCTGGCCCAAAATGGAAAGGAGAGGCAGGCAATTTAGGCCACACTTCTGAAGACAGGGATTAAACATGAAATATGTTCTGCAGGAACGTGACACCTGGTCTACATGTACAGGCAGAGAACAAAGACCCAGTAAAGGGGAAAACTCAAATTCTGTCTCATTGCTATGAAAGAAAAAAAAAAAAATCTGTTTTTTGTGTGGTCAGCACCACTAAGCAGAGCTACACACAGTAGCTCTGGACCCAGAGCCAGCAGGTCACAGCAGTGCAAAGCTTGAGTGTGTGCAGTGTGACTATGGACTCACATCATCATTCAGCTTGGAAGGGACCTCAGGAGACCTTCTAATCAAATGTATAGCTGCCTAGGTCACCTAGCCAGACTTGTTAAAAAACACCTATGCAGGACACCTCCTGCAGTCTCTCATTCTTCAAATCTGCCTCCCACCTTTCCTTATGTAGATTGATGCAGGTTCCACATCCTCCCTGTGCCCTGAAGGGGAAGATGTCTGAACTCACCCTCCTTATCAGATCCCTGCTGAAGGGTCAGGAGAAAGTTCTGCAAACCAGCCAGCTTCTGGTTCTCCTTGTTGTTTTTCACAGCTGTGGAAGAGCCTCCATATCGCTCCATAAACCCAAAAAGCTGCCAAACAAAAGGCACAAAGACTAAGATACCAACAGTAGGAATCAGACAAGATAAAATCAGGTTTGCAGGTCTGCCACAGATAAAGTTCCTTAGTAGGTGTTCACAAACCAGCCTGATCAGAATCTATCAGCACAGCCCAGGGCTTCCATTACCTTCCTACAGCTACTGAATCAAAACCAAAACAAGCCTCTGATGCTTGTTCCTCCAGCACAAGTCTACCCAGCTGGCAGGTTTGAGGCCAAGCAGCACAGAACTAGCAACCACTGGAATACCATGGTACACCACACTGTACGTTTCTCTGCTGGAAAAGCAAAAGTTAATCTGCACATATAGTGCTTTTTGCAGGAATTATTTTGTTTGCAGAGCAGGGTGGAGAAGACAGGCTCCCACCCCAGCTGTTGCACCTTCCACTTCATATTCCATGTCTGAAACAGCATTGGAACACTGCTGACCATAAAACCTCAGGGGCAAGTACCTTCCTGCTGATGAGGCTCTTCTCACAGTAACGCTGAACCTGTTGGAGGAAGACAGAAAAATGAACTGGCATTCAGTATTTGTTCTCCCATCCTGCTGTCCTTGATCCCTGACCAGCAGGGATATCACTTGTTCTGCTTTTGGGGAGAGTTGCACAGCCCTTTGTGAGCTCTGCCTCACAGACAACGGTTTATTACGAAGGCATTGCATCCAGAGTGGAA